AGCATGTCGACAAACGGGCAGCTCTGGCCCCCACTGCCCTTTGGCCCTCTGGTATGTTTGTGGAACATGCAGGAGGGTAAGAAGGTGACAGCCTGCCGGGATGCCAGGATGACTGGGAAGGCTTTGGGAAATGTCTCGCCGCTGTGTGACCACGCACTGCCGCCCAGGGGGTGCCTGCCTGCTTGGGAACCGGACGGAAAAGAACGGGAGTTTGACAACAGACTATGTGTGCGCTCAGATAGATAGTTTGTCCAAGGGATGTACCAGATGTTGACTCACACTGTTTTGCTAATCGGGAGCCACAAGCCCCTGGAGCCATGAGTAAACAGGAGCGTCTGCCTTTCCCTGTCACCACAGAGGAATGGGACGGGGCTGGTGCGAGGATAGGTGGGGGGTACACATGAAAACTGAAAGGAAGAGGAAAAGAGAAGTGACAACGTTATGAGAAGTTCATGTGACTGTAAAGGAAGAGCAGAACAAATATTTGACTGAAACTGCTTCTGTCTAAATCGAGGATAAAGGGGTTTTAAGGAAACCTATTCCTATCAACCTGTTATTATGAAAGAAATCTCCTCCTCACTAAGAGCCTGCTGAAATTAATACTGTGGATCAGCCACAGGCAGTATAATTAAAATACTGACAGGGCTGCACAACAATTATGCCTAATTAAACTGGGAAGATTATTATCCGATTCTTGAAAAATAGGTAGAAAATCCTTTTTAAGCATCAAAGTGTGACTGGTTAAAATGGATGTAAAAATTGGTAGATTGCGTCTGCAGTCCTGGAGAGCAAAGAATTGACTGACATTCAAAAACTGGATCACACTGGCGCGTTTACTGGGTTCATCAGATCATTGACGTTGACCTTTAAGGTGCCAGTTGCTACATGGTTCAACCAGTCAAATTCCCAATGCTGGTTTACAGTTTCCAAACTGAGCTGGGAACCTCCAACCAGTGACACAGATAACGTTAAAGGTAAGAAGAAGACAACAGATAGCAGTCACCATACGCAGAGCAGCAGACAGAAGCTGTTAAACGCATTTACACTCCAATAACTTTCACAAGTCAGAAGGCCCAAAGAGAGGGGGAGGAGGGAGGAGGGAGAGACGACAAACCACTTTGCCAAGTTGATCAACAAGGACCTATTGATACCAGGGATCTGGGCTGGTGTCAGCCTGAGAGCCAGACTGATTTACAATTGTGGTTTGTGCCAATAACCTTGTTGACCTGGTTTAACCTCGGATTTGGGCCCTCAAGAGCTCAGACTTCAAGTGTCCATTCACGACCAAAGTTGGGAAATGCATGTTTGAGAGCACTCTGAAAGCTCTCTGAAAGACTCAATATGGCTCCCCTGTTTGGGAGGAGACGCTTTGTTTTAAGTTTGAGGGATCTTAATTCTGCTTGTCAACTCTCCGGTCTACAGCACCAGGTAAGCAAGTCAGGTATCTCAGGACCTGAATGTCTGCATGGAGTCTCATCCAAAGCCTTTGCAAAGGGAGTGGGACGCCAACTGGGAGACGAGCCTTATCATCCCAGATCAGTGGTCTAGCCACAGCTAAATAAGCTCAGTATCCCGAGAGTATTGAGTCCAACACTTGAAAGCTGGGAGAAGCGTTCTCAATGTGGTGACCAAGTTTAGTTCCCCATGAAATGACAAGTTTAAAAGTCACACATCAATGTACTTTCTGACCATCCTTTCTGTAATTTGGAAATTCTCTGACTTGTAATCAATGTGTCTCATGACTGCTTTTTGGCTGTGACTCTCCGAGTGTAAACATAGTTCTGAAGCTGTTCCAGCGATAGAGGAAGTCACAGTGGACATAAAACTATAATGAGACAGGGAGACAGAAAGAGAGAGACAGAATTCAGGAGCCGGGCACCTTTCTCAGTCTGTCTGGTAACAGTGTGTGTGCATGCATGAATGTGTGTGCGTGTTTGCGTGTGTGCGTGTGTGTGTGGTGTAATTACAGCCAGGTCCCCGGCGTGGAGCCCAGTAGAAGTATCGTCAGTCTGTCTGTGGCATGCGGTGGTGCTGACCTTCCCTCTCTCTTCTCCTCTCCTCAGGCCTGGTGACTCTCTGACTGGCTCTGGCTCCACCAGACACCCCTATCCCACCCCTCCACCTCACCTCTCACACACAGGTGCTAGCAGGACAGCTGGCTGCTCACTTTGTGCAGAGCCTCTTCCCCTTGCAGTGAGTCAGATTGAATTGTGTGTGCACTGCTAATTTTTATGTTTATGAGATGCAGTGGCGTGCATGAAGCTAAATGGAGTAGCTGCTGCCTTCATTGTTTTGGAAACTTCAGGCTCACATGTCTTTCTAATATTAGTTTGATTAGATCCTGGAACTGTTTTGACCCAAGCTTTACCCAGCCTTTACATTGCAATATCACAATGTACTGTGGTACATGAGTGGAAAAAATGAAACCAACATCTGGTCTGCTCTTGACTTTATTTACCTGCTTGTTATCTAACACCTGTTGGGCGTTATATCTCTATACCGGGATGTGAAGATGAAACAGAGATGGCCATGAGAGATGTAACACCATAGAAGAAGAATGGAGGTTTCAGGTTCATCAAAACATTTGACTGATATGAGCCAGAAGTCCCCTCTTTGAGTCGATTAATTTCTGAACAGCACTATTGACTACGTATTTGATCGAAGGCTTATTTATTAGCAAGTGTTTGCACGCTGCTAACAGCACACAGAGCAAAATGTCTTGGAGTGTGTCTGTACAATTTTGCATGTCCCTGACTGTGTATATAGTGAATGTGTTTAAGTGTGTGTGTAATCAGTCAGTCTGGAATTTCTCAAAACATTGTGAATCCTGATGATCAACATTGTGATCCTGTGTTACATGTGCTGCTCGCTCTGGGTGTGTTTACACAGAGTGACATAGACTGCCTCTGTGGTGGTGAGATGACGGTCACTTTAATGTCCCACTGAGAACGCAAAATGGTTCAAATAGAGTCACACCAGATGCAGTTTTGGTCTCCTTTCTATACACTTTCTCAGTCAAGTCAAAGGTGGCAGATGGCTGTCTGCCTCTGAGTCTTGCTCTGTTAGAAATTTATTCTGATAAGGCTTTTTCTTACGGCTTACCACTTGCACACGCACAGTTAAGAGGATAACAGTCAGTACATTTACATGCAGTTGAAGAATTTGATTCTCCGCATAAGCCTGACTGAAACTGGACTTTTAAAACACATGTAAACATGTTAGTCCGACTGAAATCAAACTTGTTATAGTTGGACTAGCATACCTTGATAATGCAGTTGGGTATCCATTTTCTCCTCCATGTATACGGCCCAATCAGACTGAAACTGGCTCAAGCGCTCTAGAGTTTGCAATTGTTCCAGGAAGTTAAATGTGTTGCTAGGGAGCTGAGTAATAAACAAAACCTTGAAAGAAAAGAAAGGATGTCAAAGTAGACAAAGACATCTTCTCGAACATTAAACCGATATGGAGCTGTAAAAGTGACAGTGTTTTTATCGTTTCTTGTACATCTCACTACTCAATTGCAAATACGCTTGTTGGTTGTTGGGTATCAGACATAGTAAGTCATTTAAGAGATGACCCAGAAGTAATGAGCTGAAAAGGACATGTCACCACCTACTGGTTGCGGACATGCGTCTGTCAGTAATTCAGGTCTTGCCCAGTGAATGTATACTGGGACAAGGACAGTGGCCCAGTCAAATTGCCTAATCAAGCTGTTATCATCCCTCGACTTAACTGTGAAGGTAAATGTACTGACTAATAGCTGGATCAGGTGATCTAACTGGACAACTGTTATCATCCCAGTCAAAAGCACTAGTCGAGAACTAATTTGTAGAATACAGAATTTTACACCGACCAAAAGCATATTTACCATTGCTGTGCTGGGTGGCAACAGGGCAAAACCCCTGTTTGTTTGGTTTTATTAACATTTATAGGTAAAATATTCAAAAGACATGTCACACTCCCCTGTCAGAAGTCAGCAGGATGAAATTTTATTGTATATAAAAGTCACTTCACAGGCATGAAACCAACAACATCATGAGAGGCTGCTTTGTCCACAGGGGTGCCAAACTTGACACAAACTGAAAGTTGCTTATAAGATCCTTAATAGAAATAATCAGTCTTCACACATGTTTATAATCCTTTCGTAGCTCTGAAAAGTGCATCAATATGTAAGAGAAGTAAAAGAAAAAGAAATAAAGCTGTCAGTCAAAATGAAGGCCAGAAACATGAACAAGTGCTTCTGTTTTAAATTTGTTGTTAGCTTGGAAAAGTTTCCAAGTTTGAATGGAAAAATTCACAAATCAGACAGATGAAAAAAATCTATCTATCTATCTATCTATCTATCTATCTATCTATCTATCTATCTATCTATCTATCTATCTATCTATCTATCTATCTATCTATCTATCTATCTATCTATCTATCTATATGTCTGTCAATAAGTGAGAACAGGAGATAGTCAGGTAAACATTCACTTTGTGTGTCTGTGTGTGTGTGTTTGTGCCCACAGCCCCCTCCCAGCATCCAGGGGGATTTATTTGACCCCTTATTGCCAGCGGTGAGCCTGTGGTGGAGATGAAAGCATGCCTTCCCAGTGTGGCCCCAGTTTCTATAGCTATGGACACAGACTCACACTGGTCGGGGACAATAGAGGGGCCCTGCCACTCGCCCCTGCCAGAGCCCTCTCCTCTCCCCACCCCATCCGTCACCGCAATCATATTTTCAAAACAATAACACAGCCTGGGGGGTGGGCATGATTGAAGTGTGTGTGTGTTTGATCTGTCGGTATGCCAGTGTGTGTGTGTGTTTGTGTTGTTATTTTTAGGGTATGCATTTGATTTATCAGTGTGTGAACATGCTCGTTTGACTTGTATCAAAGTAAATGTGTGTGAAGGTCAATAAATGCAACTGTGTGCTTGCATACTCTAGTGTTTGTGGATGCAACTTTGTATATGTGCATGTGTGTGCGTGCTGTATAGCGGGCCTTTGATGGCGTGGCCGGAGCGTGCCTAATGTGACTGCTTGCTGGGGTGGGGTGGGTGGGTGTGGGGAGGGGGTCGGCAGCGTTGAGCCTCCTGCCCTCGTACTGTCTACCCCGCCGTGGCCCAAGGCTCCCCCTGCAAACTTGAAAGGACCAAAGGAATCCCCCCCTAAACCCCCCGACGCCGCCCCCCACATGTTTTCAGAAGGCATGACATCATCCTTTGCACAAAGGGGGCTGGAGCTGGGGTTAATATGGATGTATGAGTGAATGCGTGTGTGTGTGTGTGTGTGAAGGATACAAACCCATCAGTCACAGTATTCAGCTGAAACACAAGATTTGGCTTTTCTCTTTTTTTGTCCTGTTAGTTACTTTTTTTTGTTTTGTTTTTTTGTTTTTTAACATTTTTTGACTCTAAATCATACTTTGAATTGTTTGGTGTGTCTAAACGTTCCCGTCCTTTATTCTCAGGTACTGGAATCATTTAAGTCTTGACTCCTCTCAGTCTGCACTGCTGGTCTTTCTTCTCTCTCCTTTCCTTTTTCCTAAAGACATTTCTACATCAATTTTAACCCCATATAATCACTTTCTTGTTGTTTTTCACACAGCGAGTCCACAAACTGAACACTATTAACTCTCCACTGCCGTGACCTCCTCTCATCCTGGTCTGCCTCTTGAATTCTCCGTCATCACTTTTGGCTCTCTTTACAGCTTTCACTGTGGACTGCAGAGCCAAGCTGTTGTTTTTCTCCTGCGTCTGAATACGGCGTGGGTGAAGGAAGTTTGGAGCACTTTCAAACAAATCAGTGCGGTTCACGAATGTGCAGACGATGACAAATGGCTGACATGGAAGCATCAGAGGCTGCAGTTTGACTCAATAAGGATGCTGAATGAACTGTTTGCCCTTTAGGCTTCAGTGGGAGAAGTAGCATGTCATGAAACAATCACTTTCTGTTTTATGTTACCGCAAATAAAATCCCGTTAAAAACCAAGGCTTGAGCCTGATAGTAATTTCCATGTGCTATAGTAGTTGGTGACCTGATGCCCCAAACTAATTAAAACACTCTTTGTCATTTATGAGAAATTCACCTGGAATTTAAACATAAACAGAAGATTTATTTAGTCAGATTTATCTAACCTTTTTGGAGACTAAGTGATCATACTGAATACCAAGCTGGGGTCGGATATGGTAAGCTGTTTTAACATTTAATGGACCAACTTTGATTTGAGATAATTGAAGTATAATTTAAATCATATCCACCTGTGGGCATGAGATAAAAATACTATCTTTTGTGAGATTTCAAGGGCTCTATACATTTAAGATCTATGTTTGTACAATAGGGAAGTTTTGTCTTTTTACACTCTTTCTCTGCCAGTCAAGGATTTGTTTACTACCCCACTTTAAAGCAAAGCATCCATGCGATTCAACTTCCGGCTATAAGCCTGGAGTGCCAATCCTGGAGCATGTGCAGAACACACAGGCCAGTTTCAGCCTGATAGAGCTGTATAGGAGAAAATCAATCCCCAACCACATCACCCAGGTATATTTGTCCAACTATATGAAATTTGATAAAAGTGTGATTTTAGTCAGTCACTATTAATGTGTTCGCATGGGGTGACCATATGTCTTCTTTTACCCAGTCATGTCCTCTTTTTTGGGGGCTGTCTGGCCTTGTCTGGCTTTGTCCGGTGAAGTTTATAAAATCCTTCAAATGTCCACAGTTTTGTACGGAAGATTCGAGTTTGTGTCACATGGACTTACTGAGTTAGAGGTGCGTAAAAGACACTCGATCCGACCCAAAAAACTCTCAACTTCGTGCGACTCCATGGCTCCGCCCCTGTGTAGTCGCGTCCTCTTTTTGGGAATTCAGAATATGGTCACCCTAGTTCACGTGAAAATTAAAAGTCCAGTTTCAGTCTAAGGCAATTCATATCTATTTTGAACAACGTGTTAACACACCGATTGTTGATAATCAGAATTTTAACCTGTAAGAATGTAATTCTAACTGTGTGAAATGCTCTCATTAGTGTCTCAAATATCATATCAAAGGTAGTGTACTGCAAAGAGCCACACCATACAGAGACTAAGAGCAATTTTTTTTTTCACTGTGTTACTGCAAAGAGCCACACCATACACATGGGCACACATGAACATCACCCCATCCCTTCCTCACACACACACACACACACACACACACACACACACACACACACACACACACACACACACACACAGACCTCTGCTCAGCCAGATTTATTGTAAATGTCACACACCAACATGATAATGACAGAAATTGACTCCTACAGTACTAAGACCACAGGCCAGTTATTTTCAACAATTAACATTGTGTGCACTGTCTCTCACACATAAACTCTCAGTTCAACCAAGTCCACAAACAAAAATATGATAATTTACAATAGCGTTTTTCTCTTACTATGCATGTTGCTTAGTGGGGGGCTTTCAGACAGTCTGTAGTCGCATTAAATGGGTCGACAAGGAACGTAATCTGTGGCCTTTTCAGTTGTAGATCACGGAACCGGGTCACAAAGCTTTCGTGCAGGTTTTCAACCAGTGTTGCATATCTGTCTCTTTTCTTATTCAGGGCGGCGCTGGTGACTTGCCTGCTGGCTTTTAGCAGAGTGTGAAAATGCGTTAAATCTCCCTTTTGAGTATGCGCCTTGAACAGCTTCAGTTTGTTGACTAACGCAAACACACTTTGCACCAGATCAGGCAGCATTTTTAACTTACCCTGCAGGGTCAGGTTCAGTCTGTCCAAGTGACACAGCATGTTGACCAAAAAGACCAGATCCATAATCCACTCGAGGTCTGAGAGCTCTGGATAGTCCTTGTCCTTCTCTTCCATGAACAGTTTCACGGCATCCAAAAGCTCAAAGAAGCGAGAGAGTACCTTGCCTTTTGACAGCCACCTCACAGTGCAGTGCAGCGGCAGGTCACCTGGAAGCCCTTGGTCCAGGTCAGCGATAAGATTCCTGAATTGCCTGTGGTTAAGCACATGTGTGTGGATGTAGTTGACGATTTCCATCACAGGCTTCATGACGTTGTTTAAATTCAATGATTTAGACATGAGTTGCTCCGTGTGGAGGATGCAGTGGAAATTCAGAAAACTCTGGAAATGTTTGGTCAGCTTTGCACAGCCCCACAAGCCTGTTCACTGATCTGATCATGGCTGGCGCTCCATCCATGGCTACTGCAGTTAGTTTCGGTATGGGCAGATTTGTTTCCGCAAATGTAGCCATCATTGTTTCTTTAACATCTATGCCACAGGTTCTGTCTTTTAATGGCACAATATCAAGGAGTTCTTCTTTGATCACACAATCGTTTGACACAGACCGTGCAAATATTGCCAACTGAGGCTTGTCTTGTATGTCACAACTCTCATCCAATGCGACACTAAAATACTCACATGCTTGAGGGTCGGAGTGCAACTGTGATTCATTAGCCGTGTTAATATCCGATATTCTGTGTTCAACAGTGTGGCGGGACAGTTGGACATCTGATACCTATCTGATACTCATTTTAGTTTGTCGTCTTCAGGAGACAAGATTTCAACAGCGTCACTGAGGCGATTTTTAACGAAGTCCCCTTCATTGTATGGCTTTTTAGCCTGTGCAATGTTCCAAGCCAGTTGATATGATGCAAGCGCTACGGTCTCTGAGTGCTTCGTAAATTTTTGGTGAAACTGTATCTGCTTTTCTGCCTGACTTTTCAAAGTGACCAACTTGTGCTTGCGAAGTTCAGTCCCTTTTGGAAATTCCTGGTCGATGTTAGCATGGAGTGAGCCGAAGTGGCGCTGAAGATTTGAAGCTTTGAAATTACGCCTGACATATAAGGCAGAATGGCTTGCCATTACGTTCAACAAAAAAATATAAACTCTCCCACTCTCTTAAAAACGTCCTGTGTTCATCTTCATATTTTCGTTTTGCTGTGCTTTTTTTCCTTGCCATTTTGAGAGCGAACTTGACACAAATTGTTTACTACTCAAATGATCTCACGCACATGCGCGTTCATGTGAAAGCCCCTTAAGAGCCGCATGAAACCAGCCAAAGAGCCGCATGAGGCTCGGGTTGGCCAGGCCTCCCCTAAATGTTAAAACAGCTCACTGTAACCAGATGGCATTTTAAGAAATAAGACATTCTCCTGTCAGTGTCTTTTAAGAAGGTGAGGACACAGACCTTTATAACAGCAGGGGGGTTGTGGTGGGGTTAGACAGAGTCAATGCCACCAGCATGGCTAATGTCATGGCCACTGAGTTGTAACTGTCGCTCCTGTGAGCAAGCATTAAAACACACACACACATATGAGAGTGAAGAAACAGTCAGGTTTTACATTTCACAGGCATATTCACACATCTCGTGTGCACGTGCGAACCCCACATACATTTCTTGATTGCTTTTATCTCTCTCCGTCTCATTCTGCTCTTACAAGTGTTGCATGGAGGTGAGGCCTCAGCGCCCTTGCCTGTTTAATGGGCCGTTCCGTTTGCCAACTGTTCCTTTGAGGGGGCCGATGTGTCGGGCGTCGGAGCCGGGATTTGAGGAGGGAGGGTCGGTGCCGTTGGATCAGACAGATGGAGGGGGGTCCGGCTCCATTCATTTAGGCTCTGTGAGAACAACAGAGCCCCACTTCAAACAACAAGGACGCAACCTGCTGGCCCAATCGTCTGCAAACGCACACATATGTAGACGCGCACACACATGCTGTAACACATGCATGCTTCAAACACACACGTGCGCTTTTATTAGGGCATTCTCAGCTTTTTATCGATTTAACATGTCTGAAATCAAAATCTACTTGGAGGACATAAACTCAAGGATAAAGTTATCACTGCTGCTGTTCACACTGCATCTGCAGCTCATCTCCCACCCTCACATCTACACAAACCACATGCGTATGTACAGGGGGGCACAAAAACATAGGCTTCCCAGTGCCCACCCCCATTCCCAGCCCTGCTTTTCCCTGGGACTCTCTCCTCTGCTACCACCCCCCTCCTGAATTCACTGGCACTTCCAGAAAGCTCCGAGGCGCCAGCGGAGCGGGGCTCATCTCTTGGGAACAATAAAGCCAGATCTTCATAAAAACTTCAAAAAGGCCTCGCCAAGTGTTTTATAGGTGCTTTAAAGGTTTATGGGCCCAGGGGAGGGAAAGAGAGAGAGAGAGAAATGAGTGATGCAGTTGTGGCAGGCTTCACTTTTCCCACCCACTGCACACAAACACACACATATACACATACAGATATGCACACACGCAAGCGTGAGCGTACATATACGCTGCTGCTAATCCCCCAGTAAGTGCCAGGCTGAGATCAGGCTGGTGGGAGGCAGGGTGGGGCAGGGGTAGGTGGTGATTGCTGTGAGGCGGTGGTGTAAGGAAAGCAACAGGTGATCAGTCAGTGCAGGAATGAAATAAAAGAGAGGAAAGAGGAGTGTCACTGTGGACCGTGGAGTCAGTAGATAGTTGTAAAAGCAACTCATGTTTCACTAGCGAGGTCACACCACAACACTGTCATTCAAATGTTTCACAGAGGTTCAGGATGTGTTGCTGTTGAAGATGGACAAGTGGATGCGAAGGAGATGAGTAGAGGAAGACAAGAAGTGGGGTTACACTGAGAAAAGAGTCTACCAAATAGATATTGACCCAGATTGAATGGACTTAATCATAACTTGGGGTTACTTTGGGTCAATCTTGATTGAATTTGAAATACATGAACAAGCTCTCGAAGCATTTTCAACCTTTGCAGATAAAAAAACGTAGCATTTTTCAGTCAAACTTCACTAGAATTTCAACAAAAATTTCTTAAATGTTGAATGAATTCTCCTACAGAGATTTTATTTGGAGTTTTTGCCTCCCAAAAGGTGTTTTTGCCTTGCCACTGTTGCTGAGTTTTTGCTCATTGGTGGATTAATGTTTGGTCCTCTTACATGATAAAAGGAAGAGTATAGTAATAAATTTGTTTTTTATTGAAAGCCAATCTGCCGAAGCAGGCGGATGTTCACCAACAAATCTGTTTCTTGATGGTTTGAACAGATTTTATTTTATTAATAGAACTGAGATGTATTTGTACAGGATTTGGTGCTTTAGAAATAAAAACTGATGAACTGATTGATCGAATGATTGATGGACTTAGAGTGTATGTTTCTGATGCCTTAGACTGCGTGTTATGTAGGTCTGTTTTTCAAAACCGGGACAAGCTGTGGACCAAACTTGATGCTCAATTCCTAAACCACTTCAGGATGGTTTGAAGTTGAAGAGCACAGAGGTGGGACTTTCTGAGATGGAGGCAACTGAGGCCTTGAGATTGTTGTTGGTTGCTGTTTTGCAGGCGGATATGTTTTGGCACGCATCAACCGGATTATAAGATCATGTGCCGTTTGGACTCTTCCAGTTCCAGTACAGGAGCTTAACAGCCTGTGAATCTCACTTCCCTGCCAGGGGAGATGCTGACGAAATCACCTATCAGATGAATCTCTCTGATAATGCCGCTTTAGTTTTGTCGCTGCAGATATTTTGATGAGTCACAAGTCGCAGGGTCAAAGCAGAGCACGCTCCACTTTGTATCTTTTATGAGCATGAATAGTCACTATTCAGGTTTTTTTTTTTTTTTTTTTGAATGTTTTCTTTATAGGTATTCACAGAGATGCCAGAGTTATATTTAGCTCGGGTCCTCCTGGAGTCAGAAGGTTTAAAATTAGGAGGTGTCAGAATTCCAGTTCAATTCTTAAGTTACTGTCAATAAACGGTAAAGGGCTGCTCTTAAAGGCGTAGTGTGTCGGCATGAGTGCATTATGCCATGATTTGTGCGTGATAAGCTGCCCCAGGAAGTGTGTGTGAATTTGTCCTGATATATTACAAAAGTGTAAATCCTCTGCATGTCACACATGTGCTTTTACACATCTAGATATCAGGATTCCACGGCACACACAGCTCATGTGCACCAATGCGTGTTTACGCCTGTGTTTGTGTGTCCTTCTGCGCATTAGTGTTTGTAGGATCTGTTGACAGTGAAGCATGCAGCATTTTATTTGCTCAAGGGCTGAAAAAACACATGGCGCTAGTGAGGGAGCGCTGTGATATGAGCCTGCTGAAAGGAAGCTGGCCGGCCAGAACTCAGCCCTGGATCAAGATTCAACAAAAACATTTTAACACACTGAACATGTAACATAAAGCGACTCAAGTTTTTGTTGATGCATTACTTTGAGTGTACTACTGGGCTTCTAACAGTCAACAATAAATATGCATGTGAAACAGAAAAGTGTGTCAAGTATCTTTGACATGAACCTTTGAAATGAAATTGTAAGTTTGACTAACATTTACTTGTAAGACAAATCTGCAAGCTTTAAACTTCACAACAAATCAATCAGTCTTTACCTGTATGGCCCCAATTCACAGTTTAAAGGGATTTTTCGAGTCAAACACACCGTAACACCGAGTTAGACACCCCCTCCAGAGATGAATGCTGCCGACTGCTTGCTTCTTATTATACAAACTTTTGTAACGATTGCATGATAGCAATATGGCTTTTTGGTTGAGGTTTGTGCTTGGCTCCTTAGACTGCTGTGTATTGCTATCGTGTGGTCATTACTAAAGTTGGTTGTATACACTACAGGCCAAAAGTTTGGAAGCAAGGCCATTACCGGCAGTTGGGAGTAACTTCAGGTTTTTGTTCACAATGCTTTTTTTAAATCCAGCATGAGTTTTATGTATTTTGGGATGTATTTACTCCATGATCAGATGTTGCTTTCATGGAAATGCACCATTTTAATCCATTTACCTTTAGATATACATTGATGTTAACAGACCATTGCTAAATATATGTCAGCAAAAGAAAATAAGGGCTTAGTTGCAGGGTTGAAAACATTTGCAAGAGTCACTTCAACTTTTTGGCTTTTGAGAGTCTGCATACAAAAATTATAATTAATCTCAACTGCGTTCAAACTACCACAGAAATGGCTAGAATGAAGCAACTGAGTAAAGAAACAAAAGTACAGATTTGTACATTGAGGAAAGAAGGATACACAGAAAGAGAAATTATATAACGCCTAAAGGTGTTGAACGAAGGAGTTCACTACACTCTGAAGAGACTAGAGGAACCTGGAAGTTATGATGATAGAAAAAGACCTGGACGAAAGAGAGTTACTACAAAAGCAGAGGATAAACATAGCATTATCACCAGTAAGAGAGATCGGCGAAAGACAGCACTAAAAATAAGGGAGGAAATAAACATGACAAGGTTGAAACCCATATCTCTGACAACCGTGAAATGATGTTTGAGAGAGGCTGGTCTGAAGGGTTGTGTATCTGCAAAAAAACACTACTTCGTCCACAGAACAAGAAAAAGAGATATGAGTGGGCAAAAGCTCACAAAAATTGGACTTATGATGACTGGAAACAAGTTTGCACTGTTTGGTTCAAAATGCAGAGTCTATGTCTGCAGACAAACTGGTGAACGTCTGAAAGCACCATCTGTTACACCCACAATTCAGCATGGAGGTGGTAGTTCCATGGTATGGGGATGTTTTGCAGGTGATGGAGTAGGAGATTTGTTTGAAGTAAAGGGTATCATGAAGAAGGAACAGTACCACTCCATCCTCCAGCACCATGCTGTTCCATCTGGACTCAGACTTGTGGCTCATAAATTTGTTTTTCAGCAAGACAATGACCCTAAGCAGTCTGCCAAACTCTGTCAGGTTTACCTAGACAAAAAAGAAGAGGAAGGTGTTCTTCAAAAGATGGTTTGGCCCCCTCAGTCTCCAGACCTTTCTCAATTGAGCTTGTGCGGGATGAATTGGATCGATCAGTCAGAAAAACACGTCCCACGAATCAGCAGTCTCTTTTTAATGAACTTAAGAAAGCTTGGAATGCAATCCCTGGAACATACCTTAAAAAACTTGTGGAACGAATGCCTTGTATATGCCAAGCTGTTGTTAAAGCCAGAGGAGGTCACTTTAAAGAAAGCAAAATCTAAGCAACGATAACTCAAACACCTAATAATTATAGTCACAATGTCTTCTGATAAGTTTCTCTTTACACAATAGTCATGTTTGTTGTGTTGCAAATTATATATTTGAAACCATGATCTTTTTTTGTACAAATCTGATCTTGCTTCCAAACTTTTGGCCTGTAGTGTATGTTGGAATATCCCTTTAAGATTGAGCCCGGTCTCGAGTCAACCACGAGTGAAAGATTTTACGCCATTTATCAAGTTATAGTGTAGAGGAAAAACTTCCTCATAACAGGCAGAAACTTCAAGCAAAACCAGACTGATGTTAGACAGTCATCTGCTGCTACTGCATTGGGTTTAGAGAGGGGATAGAGGGAGATGCAAAAAGAGCAAGAGTGAGACTGAAGCAGCTGGAAAGCAGGCAGGTCCACGGCAGCAAAACATCTGCAGCAGCAATCCAGAGAAACCTACAACATGACAAGCACAGGGACTCCCATAAAAGACAATGCACTAGTGACTCATAATGCAATGGCTTATACCACTGGTTTCAGGCTTTTTGATCCCTGAATTTGAGTTTCCCTGTTATAGGGGGTGGTAGGTTGACTGAAAGTTAAGTATTGCAAATATGATGACCACCCCAAATTGCTTTTAAAACCCTGGTTAAGTAAAAAAAAAAAAAAGTGATGTCACCCATGTTTCATTCAGTTATGATACAGTCTTTGACTTCAATTTGTTCAACCAGTAGCATGGGAGCTTTAAAAACAACATAAATTCATTTAAGGTGCTCCAACAGGCATACAATTCTTTTTGAAAAAGCTGTTTTTAAAAGTAAGGATTCAAGAAAAATAACAAATTCAACTTTAATCAGGAGAAAAAGTATGTAATTTTTTGCTGTTTGTGGACTCAGGCCCTAATTTCGTCTTGGTTTTCCCCTGCGATTTGCAATCAAATGATAATTAATTTGTGAACTTTTTTTGGCTAACTTTATACAAGAGTCCTCTGTAATAGTTGCTCACTCTTTCTGTTGAGCGAGGATCTTTAAACACTCATCTCATCTTTACAGTGCTGCTCTGGAAACATAAAGCTGATGTATACGCTGCAGTATATTATGTCAAGTATTTTCCCCTATGCAAAGAAAAAACTCTATTCAAACCTGTTGCCAAATTAAGGGTGAAAACACTCCTTCAACATGTTCAATAGTAACATCATTGTTCATCTCTGCTGTGCACACACTGCTGGCTTCATGTTGCCATATTGCCCACCGCTTACACTGTGAGATTCTGTCTGCAGCTGCTCACCATTCACTTTTCATCAACTGGGTGTCAGACGCTAATGAGGTCATTGCAATATAACATCTGTAGGAACAAGTACCCTCTATTTGTCATCCACTCCCATTCAGATCATGTGAATGAGAAGCTTTACAGAGGGTAGCATACGTGTGGATGAAACTCCAAACTGAAAGAATGAGCTCCAAAGAAAATCTAATCTGCACACGCCTAAAAGCTTGTTCATGGCAGTGCAGAATTTTCCAACAGATCCTTCAGGATTCTCCTCCTTACAGAGTTTAAAACAGAGTACAGTCAATGTTTAGGGTGCTGTAAGTGGTCTGTCATTAAATGACACCTCTTCAGGCGGACTCATGCGAACTCAAAACCTTTTACATATGCTAAGAGAAAAAAAAACAAGTAAACAGTCTTCTACTTTGTAATATTCATTTATTGTTCAATAAAAATAGATTTTAAAAAAGTGACGTGATGTCTCCTTCATGACTTTGCCTGGCGGATCTGCCAATGACTCCTTGTAAACATGGGGCTCTGCTTCTTTTCTCTCTCAACAGGACAGGGAATAGCCCCCCCACCCCACAAGTGTAATATTAAAGCAGCTCCAGCCATTAAGTTCAGTGACCTTTGACCCCTACAGCCCCACATTCACTTCATTTCACATTAAGGGTGGATACAGTACATTCATCCTATAGTCTTTTTTTTTTTTCTTTGTCTATGTACACGGTCAGTTTCTGGTAGTGTGTTTTGTTTTTGCCATTGGTCCTCGTAAAAACAGCTTTAACAGCGTGAAGAAAGAAGACATCTAAGCGCTAACACAAGAGTTCAAGCCATTAGTAAAACCAATTACAGCATTAACATCAGTTTGTTGTAAGACTTCTTTGTACAGTAGTTACAAGTAAACACATCTTTGAAGGCGTAAGGAAACGCCATTTTTACCTCCAGTGTAAAAACTTCCTCTGAACCTGGAATGCTACAGAAACTGAACGACAAAGGACCTCACCTGTCACATTGTCTTTGCTTTGACGCTCTGATGCTACATCTGTAAACGCAGGAAATAATAACGGCAATGGAATGGTGTTTGTACGGATGTTTTAGGAGCTTTCATTAAAAAGAGTTGCTAAAAAAAAGAAGTAACTAAGACACTAGGAGCCAGCAATTTCTGTGTGTTTGATATGTTGAATTCAGAGTAAACCAAACACACTGTTCTGCTACTAATATTGCAATGTCTTAAAGATCGTATGGTGTTAACTGAGAAACCAAATCATGGCACAGTTCCCCAAAATATAAGACAGAAATGGATTTAGCAAAGGGCTGCTCCTTCATTGTCAAGCGAATAACTGTAACTGTAACTTTCAAGACCATCCTTCATTAGTTAGTTGGCATCACAAGCTGAGCTGAATCAATATTAATCTGAATGAAAAGCAGCAGTGAGATGATATTAAGCAGAGATAAATGTCATGTATGCTAGGTCCTCTCATAACACAATCAGAAGCATTAGCCTTGATGCTACCTTCATGTATTTGCTCATAGAATTAAGGCTTATTATTAAGGGTGGCCCGATCTGACATTGATATCAGATATTGGGCAGATATCAGCAAATAAACGAATATCGGATTATATCGGTCTGCATCTTAAATCTACGATATAAGCACTCCGATGCAAGGAGTCCATTCTAGACTCTGCTCCAGCACCTCTATCTAGCAGCGCTCGGATCCAGCGTGCAGAGCCCACACGATCATTACATCTGTATCGGCCAGTACTAAAGGCTACAATATCGGTATTGTATTGGAAGTAAAAAAGTTGTATTGGGACACCTCTACGTATTATTATGTGTACCTCTTAATAATGAAACAAAATGATGTTACAGTCCTGAAACTAAAACTGACTGGTTAATGATGTGACTGTTTCAGGCTTTTGGTATAGGGCAGCTTGGAGACCATATTGTAGGTTTGGTACTTCAAGAATAACACCTATCCGGTGATTTGGTCATTGGTGTAAAGACTGAAGACTGTTTGGGTCTTGCATGTAACCTCTTGACTGGGCAATACAGCCTGTAGACTGTAACCAGTGCAAAATGTCCATACACAAGCTTTCTAATGACACATGAATGCCACAGTGCAAACTGCTCCTGAGAGTCTAGTCCTTGCTGTGTCAAAGGGGCTTAGATTCAGTTTTTTACCATCTCAGAGTTAAAAATCTTTTTATATGGAACTCATTTTGAGGCCGTCAAGGAGACAGCCTGTAAATACATGGTATTTTTCTTTGCTAACAAACACCAGGCCTCTTAACAACTTGAGTCATCTCTTTCACACTAGAATCCCTTTTGGAGACCCCGCTCTAGACTGACGGGCACCGATTTCTGATGCATCTGGGAAAACCACTGAAGCAAACACAACAAAACACTGGACTGGTTAACTTTTAGCACGGCATGAAAACAGTACTTCAGATGGACTCAGCACACTTGTGGAAGGATTACATGCTTCTCTACATCTATTAGAAAAAAAAAAGTCAAGTATTGCTCATTTTTCTTGGTTTTGAACACCCAATTGAGCTGGTTTTATTTCAAGGGTTGATGGTATTTTTTAGCTACACTACGACTGAGTCTACTATACAGAGGATTTGCTGCACAGGGAGGA